CCCAGAGGGAGTTTGGACCAACAAGGAGGTGTCCTACTCGCATCTGAAGGTGTTCGGTTGCAGAGCTTTTGCACATGTACCAAAGGAGCAGAAAATAAAGCTGGATGATAAATTTATTCCCTGCATATTCATCGGATATGAATATGAAGAGTTCGGATACAGATTGTGGGATCCTGTAAAGAAGAAGGTCATCAGAAGCAGAGAAGTAGTCTTCCAAGAAAGTGAAGTTGGAACTGCTGATGATATGCCAGAGAAGGCCAAGAATGGTATAATTCCTAACCTTGTTACTATTCCTTCTACTTCTAACAATCCCATAAGTATAGTAGGACCAACGAGGTTTTTGAGCAGTGGGAGCAACCTGGTGGGGTTATTGAGCAGGGGGAGCAACTTGATGATGATATCAAGCAAGTGGAGTACCCCACTCAGGAAGAAGAACAACCTCAACCTCTGAGGAGATCAGAGAGGCCAAGGGTAGAGTCGTGCAGGTACCCTGCCACAGAGTATGTCCTCATCAGTGATGAGGGGGAGCCAGAAAGCTTAAAGAGGTGTTGTCCCATACAGAAAAGAATCAGTGATGAAAGCCATACAAGAAGAGATGGAATTCTGCAGAAAAATAGCACGTACAAGTTGGTTGAACTTCCAACGGGTAAAAGACCACTCAAATCTAAGTGGGTCTTTAAACTCGAGAAAGATGGAAATGGCAAGCTGGTCAGATACAAAGCTTGATTGGTGGTTAAAGGCTTCGAACAGAAGAAAGGTATTGATTTTGACAAAATTTTCTCGCTTGTTGTCAAAATGACTTCTATTCGAACAATCTTGAGCTTAGCAGCTAGCCTAGATCTTGAAGTGGAGCAGTTGGATGTGAAAAATGCATTCTTCATGGAAATTTGGAAGAGGAGATTTATATGGAGCAGCTAAAAGGATTTGAAATAGCTAAAAAGAAACACATGGTGTGCAAATTGAATAAGAGTCTTTATGGATTGAAGCAGACACCAAGGCAGTGGTACATTGAGTTTGACTCATTCATGAAAGTCAAACATACATAAAAACCTATTCTGATCCATGTGTATACTTCAAAAGATTTTCTGAGAATAACTTTATTATATTGTTGTTGTATGTCGATGACATATTAAATGTAGGAAAAGACAAGGGGCTGATCGCAAAGTTGAAGGGAAATTTGTCCAAGTCATTTGATATGAAGGACTTGGGCCCAACACAACAAATTCTGGGTATGAAGATAGTTCGAGAGTGAACAAGCAGAAAGTTGTGGTTGTCTTAGGAGAAGTATATTGAAAGTGTACTGGAACGCTTCAACATGAAGAATGCTAAGCCAGTCAGCACACCTCTTGTTAGTCATCTGAAGTTAAGCAAGAAGATGTGTCCTACAACAATGGAGGAAAAGGAAAGCATGACCAAAGTTCCTTATTCCTCTGCCGTCGGAAGTTTGATGTATTCAATGGTATGCACTAGACCTAATATTGCTCACGCAGTTGGTGTTGTCAGTAGGTTTCTTGAAAATCCTGAAAAAGAACACTGGGATGCAGTCAAGTGGATATTTAGGTACCTGAGAGGTACCACGGGAGATTATTTGTGCTTTAGAGGATCTGATCCAATCTTGAAGGGCTATACAAATGCTGATATGGCAGGTGACATTGATAACAGAAAATCCACTACTGAATATTTATTTACATTTTCAGGGGGAGCTATATCATGGCAGTCGAAGTTGCAGAAGTGTGTCACACTCTCTACAACTGAAGCGGAGTATATTGTCGCTACTGAAGCTCGCAAGGAGATGATATAGTTGAAACAATTCCTTCAAGAGCTTGGATTACATCAGAAGGAGTATGTCGTCTATTGTGACAGTCAAAGTGCAATAGACCTTAGCAATAACTCCATGTACCATGCAAGGACCAAACACATCGACGTAAGATATCATTGGATTTGAGAAATGGTAGAGAATGATTCTCTAAAAGTCTTGAAGATTTCTACAGGTGAGAATCCCGCAGATATGCTGACCAAAGTAGTACCAAGAGACAAGTTCGAGCTATGCAAAGAACTTGTCAGTATGCACTCAAACTAGAAGACAGTGCTACCTCATCTAGATGAATGAGACTGGAGGGGGAGATTGATGTGGTCCATCTCATTCAAAAGCCAAAGTAATAGGCATGTGCCTAAGGAAAATTTCTTTGGTTTGGTAGCCAAGTTTATTGAATTTCTTAGTTTGGTAGCCAACTTTGTTGAATTTCTTTAGTTTGGTAGCCAACTTTGTTGAATTGTCAATATTGAAGAAAAAGAAGAAAAAGTTTGTGCAAATATCAAATATAGTAGGCTTTAGAGAGTGAGGCTTCGGCTATAAAAGGAGAGCTTTAGCTTTCATTTCTATACACCAACAAAGAGAGAAAGAAAGAGTGAGATTTCACAGACAAGGTATAAGAAAATACTCTGTGAGAAAAATAGAGAGTGAGCGATATTGTAGTGAGGTGGGAATATCAAAAGAGGGTGTAAGCACGTAATTTTTGACCCGTCACGTTTTTGAGCTATTTTTAAGTGTTTAAAATATTTATTTAACTTAGCTTTAATTTTTATGGAGTTTTAGTCAATTTTTACTTCAAATTACAATTTAAAAACACAAAAAATATTTTCATCTTTAGTTTAAGGTCAATAAGTATATTTATATTTATAGTACTTTAATTTTTGCCATGACTTTAGCCTATTTTCTTTACTTTTACTTTGTTATAACATCTAAAAATACAAAAATAGTCTTGTTTTAGTATGTAGTATTATTTTAATAGTTTACTCTACTTAAATAAGACTAATTAATATTTTGTAGTATTTTAGTAGTTTAGGCTCAATTCGGAATGGCCCACAAGATCTGAGCCCAATACCCCACCAAAATCCTAATCCCATAACTAGAGTCTCACCCGAGTTCCCTAAAAAAGGAAGCGGAGCTAAAAGAAGGACCCTAGAGTAAGAAGGAAAAAGCTGCGCAGCAGCCGGAAAAGGGGAGAGTAACAAAATAGAGCACGAAGAGAGAGGACAAAAATAGAGCGCAACTTAGGACAGAGAGAGGGAAACAACCAGATTTAGATTCCAAAAATGAGTGGTTTCTGGAGGAAAAATCGGACAGAAAATTGAGAGGAAACTAAGGTTTCAAAAATTCTTCAAGCTCCTTTCCTTAGTTTCCGATTCTTTTAAAAATTTCAGAAAACAACAAAAATATTTCTGCTTCTTCACTTTTAATTTCGGATTTCTGTTGCAAAAATGGGGTTTGATTGAGTCCAGCTTGTCGTTGTTTTCGCTCACCGTTCGAGTTCTCCGGTCGGGGTTCTGCTGCTTTTGTTCGGAGGTTTTGTTGAATATTTTGTTCGAGGCTTATTCACTGCTCGATTTTGTTCGACTTAGTTACTGTAATTGCTGAGGTTCATTAACTAAAAGACTATCTCATGTTCATTTCTCCCACTCTCATTTTATTCTATTATCGTGTTTATTAATACATGCTTTCAGTTGTGAAATTCATGTCAATAAATATGGGATCTTACTGTTTGTTGAGTTTTCTTCTTAATTGATTGATTTCTTGATTAGTTAGAAAATTTCTCTCATGTGCTTGTGTTATTCTCTCTTAAGAAGTACATGTAAATGTTAATTTAAAGTTTGTTACATAATTTGCTGGGTTAATTTAATTGGATTTAAGAAAGAAAAATTGAGCCAGGGAATTGGATTGTATTACTGTAGAGGTATCCATGTAATAAACTCTAGATTTAGATTAGAATATTTTTGTTTTCTTTCTTAGTTGATTATTTGATTGGTCTACTGTGATGATGGGGAAGATGGGGTTTGCACTTTAGTTGTCCATTTAAAGTTAATTTTAATTTGTTTTGGTGTAATAAGTGTAACTAAGGCAGAGCATGAATGTCTTACTATTAAATAATAGCCTTTGCACTTTTATCCCTAAATAAGTTACATGGTTTTTAACTTTCACGCTTGATTCCAAACGTAGCAAGATAATAATCTTATTGAATATCGTAGTTCGCTTTAGGCGCGATTAATAAATTATCGTGGTCATGGGTACGGTTCTCGTGGCATGGTCACGAGACGTAAATTCCAATTTGAGTGTGCATTTCATGCAACTCGACCACAACTTCAAATAGTAATAAAAATAAACATATCGTAAATCGCGGGTGCATTTCATGTGGCGCGGTTTGCAATGTGTACCAAAACGACACGTGTACGACATCATGACTTGTTCCAGAAATAATTCCGTAAATACTAAATGCGGTTCAAAAATAAAAAAAAATGCACAATAGGTTTCAAACATGCACTAAATCAGATAATTAGGCCAGTTATTAACAGTTGGGCGACCGTGCTAAAACCACGGAACTCGGGAGTGGCTCACACCTTCTCCCGAATTAACAAAATTCCTTACCTGGTCTTCTGTATTCGCAAACCATAAATATAAGTCAATTTTCTCGATTTGGGATTTAAAATAAATCGGTGACTTGAGACACCATAAATGATTCCAAGTGGCGACTCTGAAATAAATAAATAATCTCATTTCGATTCATGTCACTTAAATTGGAAAAACTCCCTATCCCCCTCGAAAAAAAGGAGGTGTGACAGAGGGTTATTTCTTTTGAGTGTTGTAGTGGTCTTTGGAGTATTTTACTCGGATTTACAAAGTGCAAAATTCCTTGCTATATTGATATAAGTTGCTCGTCTCGGGGCCGTGGTTTTTTTCCTTATTTCAAAGGGTTTTCCACGTAAAATCTTGGTGTCGTAGTCACTCTTTTATTCTTGTTAATTACTGTCTCTCGGTGCTACGTTATTATTCCGTTTTTATTAATGTGAATATTATTTCTATAGGGGGTTTACTCTGAACAGAAAAAAAGTGCAAACAATAATAACCATTTACTCTTTGAAAAACTCATTCCATATTATAGATCATTATTCGGAAACAACATACTAGATATACTTCATTAGATCTACTATATTGAAGTTTCCATTTAGAGACTTAACCAATTAGATGGTAAAGTCGAAGAACTAGTCACATTCATTTCAGGTGCAAAGTTTGGATCTTCTGCGTCAATCACAAACTGCAACTGAGCAATTTCCTCAATCAAATAATCTAAAAGTTTTTCGATTTTTTGATCTAATTTTTCAAACATTTCCAAATCAGTCAGATTGAAATCTTCTGATGGACAGTGTGTGAAAATACTTTCAAGAGCTTCTTCTTTGTCCTTATTTTCTTCTACCTTCTTTTTCTTCTTGTACATTTCCTCCTTTCTTTTGCGACCACTAGTCTTTTGATATGATATATAACCACTTGAGAGGGCTGCAATTGGCTGCTTGGCCTTCAAAAATCGTCGGACAACCGATTCAACATTTGGAATTCCAAATAAAAATGGTTGACCTACAATTGAAAAAATAATGATAGCGATCTCAATGCCGCATAAGGTAGATATCTCCTTTGCTTTCTTACAAAAAGCTTTCTGTATATTGGAGATTGCAGCCTCTTCAGCACGTTTGTCTTTGATAAACTCCCTCTCAATATTCTTTCTTATTTGAGAACTCTTTTTTTCCATGATTATAACAAGAGGAGATGGAAAGAAACGATTTCTTTCCCAAAGGGTGTTTGGTAACTCGAATTAGAATGAGTACATGCTCGAGCCAAACGTGCAAATTTATTGGACAAAAATGATTTCCTATGCCCTCTTCCGTCATAACCCTTTTCATTTTTGAAATTTATTCATTGGCCGATTCAAGTTTTACTATTTACAAAAGCATCCCCCATAATTTGGTAAAGATGAATCTATGTCTTCTCTTTTATGAAATTACTTACAATAATTATATCATTCTATAATCATTAAAAATGACTACCGATTACCTTGAATTTCTTTAAGAAAGGTCAGTTTGTATTATTCTGAAAAATAAAATTTGATTAATTCAAAGGTATATGTGTCATCTTGCAACCAATCATCTTCTTGTGAGTGGATTTTGGTAATTAACCTAAAAGAAAGGGGAGGTCAGTATAAATTTTAAAGCTAGAGAGGGAGATGAGTGTAATTATGTATAACCAGAAGTGTGCCAAGAAAGCAAGGAAAAGGTTGGAATAACCAATGTAAATTACCTTCATCCTCATTTTTAAGTTGATTACCAATATTAAAAAAAAGAATCGAAGCAATTGTAATCCACATAATAATAATAATAATAACATAAAAAAGCTACTGTAATGACAATCCTTTTAAATTAGAATTTAAGTTATCGGATTCAAATTCTAGCAAACGCAACATAGAAAAAGTTAGATTATTTTTTTCCTCTATTTAAACTTTGGTGAATAAAGTTATTCGTTAATTGTACCGGTGAAAAATAATATATATCCAATATAAATGCATAAATTAGCCCAAATATCATTGGTATAAAAGAAAAAACTACACACATTTACTACATTAATGATCCAAGATGATCCTTAAGAATTACCACAATTTGGAGTAAATATTTTCAGAAATCACTATTGTTTAGTGGCTATTAACTTTCTATAACTACCATATATATAATTACTTCCTATAGCTACTATTCAGTTGTTACGGTAGTGTATTCACACGTATTCGCACTGCTGTATTCATGAATACGGCAGCAAAAAGCGCCTAAAATCAGGGCAATCCAACTGTACGCGCATGTATTCACATGTATTCGTGCTATGTATTCATGAATACAACAGTAAAAAATGCCTAAAATCAGGGCAGTCCAGCTGTACACGCATGTATTCACACGTATTCGCACTGCTGTATTCATGAATACGGCAGCAAAAAGCGCCTAAAATCAGGGCAATCCAACTGTACGCGCATGTATTCACATGTATTCGTGCTATGTATTCATGAATACAACAGTAAAGCGCGCCTAAAATCAGGGCAGTCCAGCTGTACACGCATGTATTCACATGTATTCGCGTTGCTGTATTCATGAATACAACAGTAAAAAATGCCTAAAATCAGGGCAGTCCAGTTGTACGCGCATGTATTCACATATATTCGCGTCATGTATTCATGAATAAATCAGCCAACAACGCCTAAAATCAGGGCAGTCCAGCTGTACGCGCATGTATTAACTTGTATCCGCGTTGCTGTATTCATGAATACAGTTGTACGCGCATGTATTCACATGTATTCGTGCCATGTATTCATGAATACAGTAACATCAATCCCTTAAAAATAGGTATGTCTAGTTGTCTAAAAGAGAGAAAAAATATAAATAGCGTATTTCATGCATCAATGATAGTATATACCATCAAATACTTATTTTGCTATAAAATATAAAAGGTAGCTATAGAAAATAATATTTTTAAAATAATTTTTGTTTATAATAAATAGGGTGTATACCTTTGCTATAAGAGGTAAAATTTCCTTAAATATAATTCCTCCCAAAATAAATAAGGAATCGATTGACTAATATGAATAAAATTCATGACCATATTAATTTGTAACTAATTTATGCACTTTATACAATCTGATCTGTGTAATATATACAATCTGATTCTTGTAATTCATAGCATTTGTTGTGATTACTTTTATATTTTTCATTAAAGATTCTTGTAACTGATTGGTTTAAAAGTATGTGTCAGAACTTGTTAATGAAGTTTCTTGATTATAAAGTCCCACACCACACATAACGGTATTTACTCATCTTTTCAAAAGTCAACTTTAGGAAGTAAGGAGTTAAATATTGAAATATTGACATCTATAGACAAATCTAAAGAGCAACTGGCAGTTACTTAGTCAATAATTAGCATTGGTACATGTAACCCCAAAAAGATTTGACAACAATAACTCCTATTTTGTCTTTCTCTTTCTTCACATTTTTTCTCAACCCCAATCAGATCTCTTCTCCAACAACCCCTTAATAATCCATATAACTTCAATAAAATTTTATAGGTAGTCCTCAATCACCGACTAGCTGCAAAATGTAGCAGGTCACCAAAAAGTTTCATTTTTGGCGTATTTTTTGAATGTATATATCATTTTATATCGTATATATTACAGTATATCAAGCCCAACTTTTCTTCCGGTACATTTTCAATAGTGTATATTATATTGTATATTATTGTATATCACATATCTGATAATTTATGTTATGATATACAATACGATATATACAGAGATATACATAGTGATATACACATTGGTGGAGAATTTATTAACGGCAAAGGACCAAATATACCCCTCTACTTTCGAAAATGATCTAAGAATATCTCTCGTTATACTATTGGGTTATCTATATCCCTACAGTCATACTTTAAGTTCAAATATACCCCTCACTTAAACGGAGGGACACGTGTCATCGTCCTGTTGATCAATTCTAAATATCTCCAAATTAATTAAAAAGACTCATTACACATACCCGAAAATAATTTTTTAAAGCATTTTTGTTTTGTAAAAACTAGAAAAAGTTGAAATTATTTTTACTAAAAACTGAAAAAAAACGAAAATATTTTTTTTTTCCAGTTTTTACAAAAAAACTGCTTTAAAGAAAACTGAAAAATATTTTCTAAAACAATGCTTTTGTAAAAACTGAAAATCAACTTTCTAAAGCAATTCATTTTGTAAAACCTGAAAAAAACTGAATTGTTTTTACTAAAAACTGAAAAAAATGAAAATATATTTTTTTCCAGTTTTTACAAAATAACAGCTTCAAAAAAAGCTGAAAACTATTTTCTAAAATAATATTTTTGTAAAAACTGAAAAAATAAAATAAAAAGCAATTTTCTAAAGCAATGATTTTGTAAAAACTGAAAAAACAAATATTTACTTTTTTTCCTGATTTTAGTTAAAAATATTTCAGTTTTTTCTAGTTTTTAATTGCTTTAGAAAATTACTTTTCAGTTTATTTTTTTAGTTTTTACAAAAATATTATTTTAGAAAATATTTTTCAGCTTTTTTAAAGCAGTTGTTTTTGTAAAAACTAGAAAAAAAAATATTTTTGTTTTTTTAAAGTTTTTAGTAAAAACTATTTTTAAATTTTTTCCAGTTTTTACAAAAATAATTTATTTTTCGGGTATGGGTAATGAGTCTTTTTAATTAATTAGGAGATATTTAGAATTGACCAACAGGACGATGACACGTGTCCCTCCGTTTAAATGAGGAGTATATTTGAACCCAAAGTATGCCTGCAGGAGTATAGATAACCCAATAGTATAACGAGGGGTATTTTTAGACCATTTTCGAAAATATAAGGGTATATTNGGGAAATAAAATTCTTCCAAAGTCCAAAGATTATGACATCATTGGAAGCAATATTCTCTTAATTTGTTGAACCGAATCATCTAAATCAACCCAGTCACGCAGGCTGCCAAGCCCGCAAGTGTTGCCACAAAACACATTTATGGCCTTATCATATCGAAGGAATCGATCATTTTCCTTACCATGCTGATCCAAGCCACTACTAAACTAACCTCACTTCTTCAGATTTACTCTTGACTTGCCTTCAAAATAACACCTCTCTTTACCAGCACACAATGGATCTCGATCAAACACTCACCCCGAGTGACTCCAAATCACAAGACCACGTCGTCTCAATACCCATAAGCCATTTATATCCTCTCATGCACTCAATAGTACCTCCAACTGATATACCCGTTATGAGAGGCCTTCTGCGAATCCGAAGTTGTTTCTTCCATCTCTCTAACACTACCTCACAGACCCGATAATAATATAGAAATACTCCAAGTCTCTTTCACAATCCATTACAATTCTCAGTTCTTGGCTGCACAACAAACCCGAAAACCCTTAGGTACCACATCTTTAATCTTGAACCCACTAAAACCAATATTTAGAGTCTCCCACTCTGATCTAGTCCCGAATAGATAAGCAAACAATCCAAATAACTAGTGCTCTGTTAGCACGTGAATACACCAAGAGAAGCAACCGAATGAATCATTTCCCTTGCACATCACATCCACAAAGGAATATCAAATCTGGGCCATCCTACAACCTCCATAAATCAATAAGGCAAAATGTAAAGCATATCCATCAAATTCCTTGCGCGAGTTACCCCTGATGTCCTCCTCCTCAAGTCATAACTAATCCACCAACGTATCAAAATATGGAGACTATAAAAGCACGTGACCATGTGACCCAATCATTGATGGTAAGCTCCCCCACTTGGCTTTAAGCCACGATCACATAACCCAAGAACCCACAATGACTTTTTCTCTTTAGCTAATATGATCTTGCACTGTTACTCAATTGAATTTCTCACAAGATCATATTGCACTAATTATAGCAGATCCTAAATTTTCAACCCTAAATGCACACTCAACCTCATGAAAGTCGAGCCATCTTCTTCAAGTGATCCAGACCCATATCGTAGTACATGCATCCCATTGGGATAGAAGGTAGAGCATTTCATAGGAACTTCATAAGAAATCATGCAACCCCTAACCTTCTCATATGAAATAAGTTAATCTTTCTGAGTCCACACTCGTTCACTAGCTCTAAGAATCCATTCATTCTATCGACGTCAACTGAAGGTCTAATAACACGTTCAAAACTCGAATCTATATTGTATCCCAAAATGATAATCAAGTATT